CAGTGGAACCAAATTGGTAGAACCAAGTTGAAAATGCTCTACATGCAGTTCTCACGGCGGGGCTCTTTGCAGTGAGCAGAGGAGACAGATGAACAAATTGGCTTAGTGCTGGTCATTGGATCCTTCTGGTCAGCGGGACAGTGCACCCCAGGAGGGGCCTTCCTAGGCTGAGTGTCCCTCAGACACAGCAGTGAGACCCACTGTCACCCCAGAGGCGTTGGATTAGGACTTTGCTGATGGCATGAGCTGTGTTAGCAGTGCTCCTGTTGGAGGTTTTGATTCCTCCGCTGTAAGGGGACACTGTGCGAAGTGGAATTTATCCATGGCTGCTGACAGCGCCCTGGTAACCACAGCAAGCTTGGAGCCATCTTTTCAAATCAGATGGCTTGCTTTGCAAAGGCTGGTGTTTCCTGAATCAAACAGTGGAAAGGCCCCCCCTGACCCTTGATACTTCACTAAAATCTGGCTGCTCGAGCACCCCTTCCACCAGCCACAGTGAGGCTCAGTGCCTGAGCACTGGCTGTCTGCAGCGGGGGTGTCATTGCCTGGGCTGGTCATGCAGAGACTGGGAGAAACCGGTGCTTCCAGGGCACCCTTTGTCTCTTCCTAGAGGCAAAGTCTGAGGCTTTGCACCTTCAAAGTGCTTCTGCTCTACTTTGGCTACAAAGTGTGCCTGGGCAGGTAGTTAGGGAGGTACCCAAAGTTAGGAGGTAAATCAGTTCCGCTTCCCGTTTGCCCCTGAAACATCCACCCTGGCAGATCGTGACAGGTTTCCTGCCCTTGCACTGCCCAGGTCGGAAGGGACATCCGTTTGCTGAGTGTGGGTGCCGGCCGCAAGAGTCGGTGGGGTAGTCCACCTCGGTCTGTTGTCCGTATCAGTGAAGCTCACATGCTCTGCCGTCTGCAAGCCACACCACTGCTGTAATGAGCGTGAGCAACTCCCGTCCTGTTCTTCCCAGAGCTGTATTTTTCAAACATAATAGGAACAGATCAAATTTGCTAGAAATAATTTAATATCAACATTGGTGACTCATCCAAAAACATGTGCTGATTTTGTGTTAGTCCTGAACATTTTGCTTAATAGCAATGAGCAAAACGAGTTACAGTGTGCTGAAAACACATCCTGGCACAAGAGTAACCTGACCAGAAACTAAGCCGGAATCTTGGAGATCTTGCAGGAGGAAAGATAAATATATTCAGAAGAAAAAAACCCAAACATAACCGGAGTGCTAATTAATTAAATAAGTAGTATCAAAACATGGGATAGAGCATTTGGTTTGTTTTTCAGGTTTTCCAAGGCTGTGGAAATCCCAAAATCAGCACAAAAGGCTCCAGCAGCGAGGACAAGAAAAGGCGGGGGAAGGTCGCGTTGGAAGCAAAATCCTCTGCGCAAGCCCTGGAGCTGCTGGTGAGTCTGCAGGCAAAGCCCCCTCCCCGCTGTGTGCCTGGGCAGGCATGCTGGCCTTCCCGCTCCCCTGGCAGCCCGACAATGGGCGCTGCGGGTCGGGCAGGTCACCCTGCCAGCTGCCAAGGCGCCTATGCTGAGTCTGAAGGAGATGGGGTCAGTGGATGCTGCTGTGGCCTAAGCACGTGCAGTGTTGGGGTCCAGATTGCTAATACCAATTCCTCAGGGGTTTGCTGCCAAACTTACCTGAAAAGGCTCCTTGCCATCGGTGTCATTCAGCCTCAGGCAGTCCGGCCTGGATGCTGGGGCTAGAGGTCCTCTTCCGTGGAGATTTTGGATTCTGTGGACAGTGAGCTGTGGGATCTGCCATGGTCCCACATTTCAGAGGGTCCTCACGCACAGACACCTGCCTGTCCCACCCTGGCAGAGCCCTGCAGGCTCCCACCAAGGCTGCTCCTCAGCACTGCCCTCACGCCCCGAAGACCATCTCCTCCTGGTTAATCCTAGGGTACCAGAACTGTCCTTAGCACGCGACCTCACCCCTCATCTGCATAAAAACAGACTTGGTGATGGTAAACCAAAAAAAACCAGGCAGAATCCTTGTCCTTTCCAGAGTCCTGTGGCGTCCCCAAGCTCTGCTGACCCTGAGCATCCTCTGGTTTTTACAGGTGTTGGATGCCAAAGGGAATCTGACAGCTCTCAAGACTTACTGGATCACCCTGCCCGGCACCCTGTGCAGCAAAAAAGTAATGGCCAGCTCAGCGGCAGACGACAAGTGTTGGAACGGGATGACCAAGGGCAGGTATGGAGAGGGTCAGGGTGCCAGGATAGCACCGTTCTGGGCTTGGTAAAAGCCCCAGGCTGAGCCGAAAGGTCTGTCCCTGTCCACAGAAATGCTGCATTTCCTGAAAATCCGGTACCTGGGAACATCAAGCCTGTTGTCATTTTGCTGTGTGTTGGAGGGTTAAGCACTGAAACGCAGTCGCCGTGAAATGACCGTGTAGTTTGGTACTAATGAAGCAGTTTCACAATTCCATGAGCATGCAGAAGGGCTGGATTTACCTCACAAACTCCAGGGCTGTTGCCAGGAATTGCGTACACATCTTCCTAGCCATACCTGCTCTGAAATGCTGTTCCTGCCTGAGAGGAGGCACCGGGTGTTATCAAACAGCCAGGGAAACCCTCCCAGCCATGGCTGACAGGTACAGGGTGGCTGTGAGGGCAGGTGGGCAGCTACTGGACGTGCCTCTTTCCGTGCTTCTTTCTGTGGAGCTGCTGGGCTGGGCTCTGTCAGCCCGGAGCTGGCACCTACCGCACTTCCCTATTTCCCGTTGTTGCCAGCAGCTCTGCAGGAGCGGGTGCGCTGGGGCACTGCCGAAGGGAGCAGTGCGGCTCTGCTGGCTGACAGATCCCAGTTAACTGAAGTTTCCCTGAAGGCCTGTCTGGTCGTACCGGGCTGGGGGCATTCTGTTGTCACAGGGTGCCAGTCCCCCCGGGGTTTAACCTGGGCAGGGATGAGGGTGCTCCGCAGCCTCCCATATGGACAGAGTTTTTCCACAGGGGCATGTCACTGTGGCTCCAGCCTGAGAGCACACACCTTTCCTGCAGGAAGCACCCCCAATGGATGGGGATGCTGCAAGGCCACCAGCCACCTCCTGCAAGCAGGGATGGCCTGAGGGCGAGCCCCAGGCTCTGATGGGCCTGACGAAGGCAGCGTGGCTCAGCCACCCCTAGAGCTGGCTGCCTCCAGCAAACACCGGCGTGTGGAGGCTGTTGGACCAGCCAGCACCACCGACCAGCTTCTCGGGAGTTCGAAGAGGATGGATTATCGCTGGTGTCTGTGACGGGAAGAGGTGAGCTTAGCGGGGAGGAGACTAAACCTGTCGCCTTCCTTCACAGTTACCTGCCCGAAGTGATGGGGGACGGCTTAGCTAATCAGATTAACAACCCGGAGGTGGAGGTGGACATCACCAAGCCAGATATGACCATTCGCCAGCAAATCATGCAGCTGAAGATCATGACAAACCGGCTGGGCAACGCAAACATCGGGAACGACGTGGATTTCCAAGACGCAAGTGAGTTTAGCGGAACCAGAGAGGTCCGTGGCAGGCGAGATGGGCTGAGGGGGATCCCACAGCCAGGCCTGAAGGGCAGAGGGGTGGGTTCTGATGTCCTGCCTGCAGGCTCAGGGCTGTTGGAGTGCAGCCAGCTTGCCGTGGGGTGGCTGGAGGCTGTGCTGCTCTCAGTGCCCGGCTGAAACCTGGGGTGGGCTCCCCAGCCCCAGCCCTGCTGATGGGTCCGCTGCTCCTGTCTGCACCGGAGGTTTCTAGCTGCTGCAGCAGCGGGTGGTTGAAGTCGAACGGAGATGAGCCATGGGCTGTCATCCCGCAGTGAGAGGTGCAGAGAGGAGGTGGCTGGGGCAGGCCCGGCAGCCAGG